TGGGATATTTCCATTGACAGCATGTGATACTCCCTTTACCTCTGCTCCAGGACAAACTTCCACCTTACTGGCAAGGCTTCCTCCTACACATCTGCACTTTATATTACAGATATATGATCAAAACTGGTCAGGCAAAATTAAAGATCACTTGCTGGTGGGACTTCCTGACACAGCTCATGAGGGACCTGGATGACAGATACCATCCAAAGCACCAGGGTTCACAACTGGCCTGACAGCCCTACTTTGTGAACCCAAGGCTGATTTAAGTAGAAGTATAAATAATAACGATATGAGAAACATAATCCACTACCCAAAATAAAAACATGAACATGCTGCCTTGGTCTGGATAACACACACAGAGGAAGATGAGCTGAACTTGAGGGAAGGAAGGCTCTCATGGCGCTGGGCAGGCTGCAGCCTGCTCTGGGGCCACGTCAGACTCCAGGCTGTGTGCCCAGAGGAAGCCTTCAGTGCTGTGCTTGGTATAATGAAGAAATATGGATGTGAATTAAACCCTCCAAGGAATGATGAAATTACACTGTTTGTTTTTACCTTTGTTTTAATTAATCAATTCCATCTCTTCTTGGTTTTCTCTTGGTATGAATGGGTGACCAGGTGTGCTTGTGTGAAAAATACCCTTGGAGGAATACTAAAACAAAGTAGTAAATTAGTTAAGATGGCAGGTTTTGGAGCTGAAAACAAGATTATTCAGAAGTAGCCAGGCTTACCTAACCACCCTTTCTACTTTGGCAGTGGAGAAAAACTGGGCCACTTGTGAAACGGGGTATATATAGACAATAAATGTTAATACATTTTAAAGTAAAATTAAGGTTTAAGAAAGACATGTTAAAGGAAAGTTACCGTGGTGATGCCTGTCACGTTATACCCCCAAACACAGTGAAAACAAGATTACCATATGAGCTGGGTCATGCAGCTTGGCAAAAAATCCAGACTGGATTTCCCCCTTCGAAGCACGAGAGGTATCTCCTTCAATATCCTTATGTCTTTCAAAGGCCTATGTTGTTCTTCTTTCTGCTGGAAAGCTCACTGGGGTTTTAGCCTGAAAAGACTCTGCCTCCTCCTTGAAATCTTCCTAGACAAGATTAAAATCTAAGTAATTCCTTCAGTGGCAACCTCACAAGTCAGTTTGATAGATACCCAACCTATTGGTCAGCTATTTGAATCTAGTGATTTATTGATTTGATTTTAATCGTGATCTCAGTGTGATCACTTAATTGATCTGCCTTAATACTTAATTAGCTTAGTAGAAATAATGAATTAATCTACTGATATCCTTGCTCAGGTGTTCCTTCATGTGATCATCCTTTTTAATCACCTCTGCAGGGAATATACAAGGTAGGTTTACGCTATTAAATAGTCACTGAGGTCACAAACCTGAGGGCAGGAGTAAATTTGGGTAGGGCATATGCCAGCAGCTCAGCTCTGCATCTCTCCAGCCAGCACCTCATACACCCTGTGAACAAACTCATCTCCAGGCATGTTTGGTCTCCCAAAGATCTTGCTGCATTGCTGAATGAAGGGCAAGGAGGGCTTTGTCTCAGAAGCAGTCCAACATTTCAAGGATGTCTTTCTCCATGTTTCACAACCAAAGAGGAGTGGATAGGGCATCCTGGGCCCCACAGTGGATGATTTATCCTCCCTTAGCCTTCACTCATGAGCACAGAAAGCTCTGACTCTCAAACTCTTTAGGGAAAAAGTTGTGACTGAATTAAACAGAAAGTAAGATTTTGAACTGTAAGATTTTGAACAGTACAGAACTGGGGCGACAAGCATCCCATACTGTTCTTTTTTTTTTTGCATTGTCACAGTTCTTGGATACCAGGAGAGATCACACACTCCTGTGGGATAGGTGACACACAAAAATCAAGTCTCAATGGACTTTTATGTGAGGTGGAAGGGTGGTGGAAGGAAATGAACAGCTGAAATCGGACAAAATCACTCAGTATTTCCACCTTGATGGTTAAAATTTGAGCAGAAGAGCTGAGACTTCATGCTTGTCACACAATGTGAGTGAACAGAGAAGGAACTGGGCTGGTGCCCATGGAGTAACCCACCATCACAGCATGAGTTCCCACTGCTCCCAGTGCCCAGGCAACTGTTTTCAGGATTGATGCTTTCAGATTCAGGTCCAATGCATAACCACAACAGAATGGGCAGAAAAAGAATAAAGAAAAAAAAGAAAGAAAGAAAAAAAAAAAAGCTTGAAAACCTCATATTACCAACTCTGAGTGGGTAAGGGATCCAGCTTTCCTTACTGTTCAGTCAGCTAATTTTGTTCTTTACGAATATTGCTGTTAGCTTTGTGAGAAAGTCAGGAGACATCATCTGAACTGGCTTAGGAATGATAAACAAGCATTTTAATTTTTCTTTAAACTGGAGAAGCTGCTAGAGGCCTGTTTTGCAGCCAGTTTAAGCCCATGGAAGGATTTAATCGGGCTTTGTTTGCAGGCGTGGCGGCAGCCTCTTTTAAAGTCATTCCTCTGCTCAAATCAAGCCTTGCCCCCGTCAGATTTTAACCACTGCTGCCGAGGTTAGGCACGGGGATGGGCTGGGGACGTCCCTGGTCCCTGCTGCAGTCACATACCACTCGTTAGTGCTGGCGCTGGGAGCCGGGCTGCTTCACTGTTTCCACTGCCGACTGTTTGCAAGCGCAGGAGAGGAGCTGGGAATGAACAGAGCAATGCAGAGTCGGGGAGGGAGGGGTTTGGTGGCTGGGCTGGAGTTAGTCACCGCAGACTTCCATTTCCAGATCGTGAGGAAGGACTCAAGCCATTTTAGGCATTTTCTTGGACTTCCTTCTCTGCTTTTAATTGAAATACCCAGGAGGGATGGAGGAATCCACAGGCCTATTTTGCACTGATGTGGGATCCTTCTGTGCAAGCACAGACGTGCTCCCCCTTCATATTGTAGAGTCAGACCACTGTTGTTAGTCCTTGGCTCAGTTCCTGTGCGTGGCAACAGGGAATCTTCCACACATCTCACCTTCTGGAAGCTGATGCACTCCTCTGTGGAAGATGCTCACCGTGGTGAAAACAAGTTTTAAAGAATTTTCTTGCAGAAGCTAACTATGCTGGGATGGCTTGACTATTCAAAACAAAACACATTTAATTCTGATACCTCTGAGGTATATACATATACATTTATCCATATGTATCTCTAAGTGGCACAGATAGGAAGACATATGAACCAGCAAATTGCAAAATCACAAGAGGCTTTGAACACCCGTGTTCCTTTTCAGCAGGGCCTCAGATGCCTACATCTAGCAGAGTAAACATGAAAAAACCCTGCATACTGCCAAGACAACCGACACATCCAGCTGCCAGACTTTTCACTATGCTTCTCACTCCGGTGCTGTAAGTTTTGCATCTCCCCTTGACCAGCAGCACTGTCCTTTTGGCAGAGCAGCTGTTTGGGACATCACCCCTAGGGTGTGCCGGGGGAGCAGGCAGCAGGCATGCTAAGAGCACATCCAGCATGGCCAGGCAAAGTCCCCTCTGTCCATTCCCAAACATGGGGCCCATGCTCACCGTGCAGGCCAGCAGCAGCAGCAGCAGCAAAAATGGGATTTTTTGGTGTGGTTGATGTTACAAAGCTTTTTTTCTCCTGCTGAGACAAAAGAATTTTCTCTGTCCAGGGGAGCTCAGTGTCCTTGTCACCCAGAGAAGCTTCTCCTGGGCTTGGTGCTTGGCTTAGCAGCACTGTGCAGAATGCCCATGGCCAAGCCCCTTCACAAAGGGACCAAACATCTGCACAAAATACTTATTTATCACATGGTGAAAGAATTAATATTTCTGGCCTTTTGTGATGCTGATTGTGCACCTCCAGCTTTGTGTTCTGCTTTTTTTTGAAGCTGATTCTTAATTAGCAACAAAATTGCAGTCACAGAAACACTGAGGACAAAGGAGTAACATCAACCTTGAAATTGTTACTTTCATGACCACTAGAAAAGCTCTCTACCTTCCCCTAAAAGCTACTTAAATGTTTCTCCACTTCTGAAGAATGATAAACAAGTCCTTGCTAACAGAGTATCGTGACAACCTCGACCTTCCTTTCCCATTGGGGCCCGTTGGTGTATGAAATGATGACCAGTCCAGCCATCTCAAAAGGCTTTAGTTTTACTCCCAGGTGGTTGCACCTTTATTGTGGTGCCTGTGCTGGACTGGGTGACTGGCCTTTCCCTGACACCCTGCTGGCGTGGTCTGTGACCACCTCCACTGGATCTGGAGCATCCTGAATGCACTGAATCTGGAGGAGCGTCCTGTGGCACGCTTCTCCCATGTCTGTCCTGCAATCAGGAAGGCATCTGAGATGGCAGAAGAGGTTGGAGTAAGTATCTCAAATCAGCCCATCAACCTCTGCCCTGCTAAAATGATCTTTCCAGGGCTTGAGGCAATGTAGGAGCACAAGGAGAAAAAAATGTGCTGCCGGGGTGCTGCCACAGCTTCTGCACCCTGGCTGCTCTCTTGGTGCCTTTTAACAGCAATGCACCATCAGGGGTGATGCTCCCTTCTCCAAGGCTTGCAGGCCTCACACGAGGGACAGGCAGGGAATGAGAACTGAATGTCTGGTGCCGCCTGATGTCAGCATCCCTTGCTACAAGAGACAAAAAAAAAAAAAACAAACAAACAAAAAGAAAACAAAAACGAACAACTTGTAGGTGATTAAATGTGAGGGTTCAGAAGCACAAGGAAGTTTCTGGGAAGAGAAGTGATAAGTCTGTGTAAATTAGGAAGGTAGGGAACTGAGGATTAACCCTATTGTTTTACACACAGTGGTGGCATTAGAATCAATTGTATTCTGATGTTTGTGGTTAATAATTGACTTCTACTTCTGCATGAAGAAGGAAAGAATTCATGCCAAAAAGCCAAGAATGTACAAGATCTTTTTAGAGAAAAGCAGAAAAAAAAAAAAAAAAGAGAAAAGAAAAGAAACCAACCAGACCTATATTTCCTGTGGATTTTTTTCTTCCATGGCAGCTGCAAAACCAGTACATTTTGTGTTAAGTAAGTGTATTATCCTGTGAACAACGGGTCCCATTAGCTCTGTCGGAAGGCCAATACCCTCTACACTAAAACCATCTTGATTCAGTACATTTCCCTGTCACAGAGTAAATTTCTGCTTGACCCCATTGAAGAAATTACTTTAAATCTTGAAACATAAAAACTATTACAGCAAGAAAAAAAAGTTACCTTTTTCCTCTTGTTGCATTTTGATTGCAGACATCAAACACCACATTGCAGTCCAGCATATAGAGAATGTTGTAGCAAGTAAAAAAAAATCAATTAAGAAATACTGAGGGAAAAAAAACCAAGAAAGGAAGGGATTGTATGGCAGTAATACATGTACTCTGTTCTTTATAAACATATGTGTGCTGTGGATTTGTGTCTGTGGGACAATTCAGGAAACAAATGAAAAGATAAGTTTTGGGTTGAAACTCAGCAGATTTCAAAGTGCATTGTTTATACCCTCTGCAGTGCAATAAAGCTTATCAAGAACTTTTCCATTGGATACAAGAGTCAAAAGAAATAAGAGGAATGTGAACAGTATGCTTCCTTTGGGTTGCTACAATATCTGTAATTCTTTCAGCACAGATTTCCCATGTTAGCTTAAGCTCTGTCTCACAACGATCATTTTTAGCAGATAATCGTAAATACTTTGCTGAGCTGACTGAGTTGTTCAGAAATTTGCCATCATTTCACTCTCCACAAGCTCAAAGCATGTGGCAAGTTCAAGGGCCCTTAATTAAAAATATAATACTTTCATTCTAGAAGCTCTTGCTTGCATCCTGGTAATACTCTGGGATAAATCAACTGCTGATGTAAATGCAATTAATTTCAGTGTAATTTCATTTAGAAGCAACAAGAGTACTACATTTTTATTTAATGATTTGAATGTGCTTTCTGTAAGGAGGAGTAGGATCACCTCCCCCTTACACAGGGGAGAGCTGAGCCTGGGAAGTGGGAGGCAGAGATTTGACCAGCCCTTGGTAAAAGCTGGGAGAGCATGCAAGCCTCTCACTCTGATCCACATTTGTGCTTTCAGCATGAACCAGGACATGGAAATGACACACAAAGCACCACACATTTCAAGCATGAGATTTGGCCCTAGATCACCAGACCTCAAAGCTGCAATATTTCCTAGGCAGAATGTACTTCTGCCCCTTTCTTAAATTGAGAGGTCAATTTTTGTCTTCTTTTCCTATTTTGGTCTTGTAAAGGAAGACAGCATGGCATGTTTGTTAGAACTATAATGTTGCATTTGCTAATTAAATAAAGTGGGGTTTTTTGGGAGAACTTCTTTTAAGCAAAACCATGTGTTCCAGGGAGGAAACATTCTTCTGGTAAACAGCTGAGCCCTTAACATTTAGCAACATAACTCTGTGTTTGCAGCTATTGAAAACTGTGTGACCGAGGAAGCCTGTGTTTCTGAGACTGAGGACTGAAAGCATTTTGCTTGCTGTCAGAATGCCAGCCCTCTCTTTTATGTATACACCAAAAGCAAGCATGAACCAACTATTGGATGGTTGCTTCTTATGGTTTTAATAAAATTTGTCTTGTATCAAAACGCTGCTGGGTTTTAATGTTGACGCCGCTCTGAGCAATGTTCTCTGCTCTGGCACAGCTGGCTCTTGCTTTCCAGAAATATAGCTGCACCCTGGCATTACTTGCAAAAATTGCAGCCTTCAATCATTTCCTCATCCCTCTGGCCTTGCCAGAAGGACCCTCCATGCACAGATCTCCTTGCTGGTACAAAGAAGGGGGTCATTCCTCCTCCCCCCACAGCTGCTGTGTGAGCAGGGCTGTGGTGACAGAAGGTAGCTAGGGAACAAAGTTACCTGCCAGACATGAACAGCAGCCCTGGAAAGCTCAGGGAAAAAAGATAATAGAGCTGGAAACTGCGAGCAGAAACAGGACTGAGAGAATGGGAGTGCCCTGTACCTGGCTCTTGCTTTCCATTCCAAGAGTCCACATCTTTCAGAGACACTCAAAGGGCCACTGGGCTGTGGGTCGAATCATGCTGAGGGGGAGCAGGGAAGTTTTATTTGGTATAAGGGATTTCCTGAGCAGCATTGGGAAGCGGAGGAGGCTGGCTGGGTGACTTTGAGATCTTACACTGCTTCTCCATCCAGCAGTTGGAAGGGGATGGCCACAGTCCCAGCTCCCTCTGGGCCGAGGGAGATGATCATTGCTCATCTCACTGAAGCTGGGCTGCTGAGCTCTGGGCATCACATTGACCTTTGCAGTACAAAGGCATCTTATCTCGTTCTTTGTAGCCCTCAAAGCAGCTGGGCATGCTAACAAATTTCAGTAACTACCAGCTAAGGCCAAACAAGATCCCACGATAAAACTTCAAGGCTCTGCATTCCTCTCTTATTGCTTTCCTGAGCAGATTCTCATTTTAACTGGACTTATGGTACTTTCATCCAGTTATCTTAAAGTACATAACAACTACTGTGATTACTGACAATAATGAGCTAATCAATTCTTCTAGGTATTCTTTTCAAGGGATAAATATTACTATCCTTGCTGTAAGAATGGGGAAACTGAAGCAAAGAGGACAAGTTTTTGGATGAATAGGTGTGTTTTACTTTTAGAATTATAATATCCTCCTAGTTTTATTTGTATAGCTTTATGTATTTGCTTCTTAGTATGCTTTATGTTCTGTTATTGCTTTCCAGTAATGTTACCTGTCATGAGTTGTGTGCGTGTACTAAGGTTCATTTAAGAAAACTGCAGTGATTTCAGAAAACTTAACAGATATTGAAGAGTTTTTTGTCATTGTTTATATATACATGTGTGATTTATCATAACCCTATTTTCCTGGCTTTTCCTTCTCTTCCTCCTTCTTTTATTTTTTATGCTATTTTTTTTTAGAAAAAGACTGCAAATAATGTTTTCCATTTATTTTCCATATATTTCAGCTTGCATTTAAATCTCTAATATGAAAAGCCAACTGAATATGACCTTCTAATGTCTAAAGAACTAAGATATTCTACTGGGTAGGAAGCTTGCAAGGCAGAACTATGGCTTTACTAAAGTATCAGTTAACCACTTATAATTAACATTCAGAGGACGTATGTTGCTTTGGTAGCATTTATCTAAAAGTTTAAATTTCCCACAGTTCAGGTATGCATCCCTAAACCCTTTTCAAGGACAGATAGACAGGTAGCCAGACCAGAGGCTTAACCGCACCATTACAAAAAAAAAAAAAAAACCAAACCAAAACAAAACAAAGAAGACTTTATTTTGTAGTCAGGTGAACTGAATGGTAGCATCTAGTTGTTTAGTAAGGGCCTGACTTCTAAAAGTATTCAGGTATTTATGTGCACGTCAGCATCTTTATAAAGCCAGCAAGTTAAAGTAAGTCTCAGCTGTGTTAAAAAATTGCTTCACTAACAAGGGAAACAACAATCTGGAAAAAAATTGAGGTAATATAAAACCTCTATAACTGGAATATTTTGTAAAATTTAGAAACCATAAAAGGCAAAAACCTGTGAGAGCCACTAACATAGTTTCTAAGGTGTCACTGTTAAGTTTTAGGCTGTTAGCCCTGACAGCTTTAGTTCTGATACTTTCTGCTCTCTCAGTTTATTTTCCAGAGGCTTATTTGTCATTTGCAAGGCTCCCTCCACCTCTCTTAGGGTGTTGTCCATACCTTCCAGACTTTTCAGGAAGGCTAATCCAATCTTTGGGCATTTTTTGAGTGGTTTGTGTTTCCCTTTTTGTGCCGGGGGAGACAAGAACAATCTTGCTTAACATAAAACCCAAACAAGGGAAGCTGAAGAGTGGGAGTATGTGAGGGAGCTGGTGGATAACTTACAGGGCTGTGAGTCTCCTCCTGTCTGTAGGCTCCACTTGTAGGCTGCAGTATGGATTCTGTGTTTAGTCTAGGCTCTTCCCAAATACCTGCTGCGGCTCTTACGTGGATTGCAGAGAGCTCGGCCCTGAGGGTGAGCGGCAAGGGAAGTCCTCCTCGCAAATGTCCGGTTTTGGATCAACACCCCCTGATTCTCCATCAGGAACATGCACGTGCGTGCATTTCCCTTCCACTCCTATCTCGTAATGGTGTGCGGCCCGACGGAGTCCAAACGCACCGAAGGGAAATGCCAGGACGGGGCATTTCCTCACGGAGGAGCCCTCAGAGATTTGAGGGGAACTCGTGGCAGGCCCGTAACCTCTGGGACGGCTCGGGGGCTGAGAGGGCTGGCGAAGGACCGCGCCACTGTCACCTGCGCCTGCGACAGCCCCTCTGAGGGGCGGGAGCGCTGTCAGGACTCCGCGATCCCTCACACCGTGCCCTGCGCCATCCCCAGCACACGCGGGGCTCTGGCAGAGAGCGCGGGGCTTGTGGCCTTATTTACCCTTTGGCGTAAAATTGTGGTGTTTGGGGGTTTTTGTTTTGTAACGCCGACGGGAGCCTGAGGCAGCTCTGGGCATCCCCGGGATGGGCAGTAGAGAGCGCCCCCAGATGAGGAGGAATTTATTCACAGAAAGGGCAATTCGGCATTGGGAGCTGCCCGGGGAGGTGGTGGAGTCTCCCTCCCTGGGGGTGTTTAACGAAAGACTGGACGTGGCACTCAGTGCCATGGGCTGGCTGACATGGTGGCGGTCGGTCACAGGTTGGACTCGATGATCTCAGAGGTCTTTTCTAATCTAATTTATTCTGCGATTGTGTGATTCTCACATCCACTCGCCCACCTTGGGGACCTCGGGATGCGGGCCCCGTTCCCCGGCCCCTTTGCTCGCTGGCCTGGGGCTGCCGGCCCGGGCTGCCATGTCTGTGGCGCAGCACGGCCCGGGACCGGCGGCAGGAGCGCCCCGCCCGCCGGCGCCGCGGGGAACCGGCCGGGAGCCGGCGGCCGAGAGGGAAGGAAGGAGGGAGGGCGGCGGCGAGAGAACCGCGCTCTTCCCGCCAGCGCCTCAGCCCACCGGGCCGGGCAGCAAACACGGGGTAGTGCAGCAGACCGGGGCGGCCACAGGGTCCGGCCAAGCTCCCCTGGGCCTACGCCGCGCACTTTTGGGCCGACAGATAAGGGCGTGTGGGGCGGGGCAGGAAGAAGGAGCCTTTTTTTTTTTTTTTTTTTTCTTTTTTTTAAGGGAAAACCCTTCGCCTTTCAGGGGCGGGGCCACTGGAGTTTGCGGAAGAGGCCGGAGAAATGCGAGCGCTGATTGGATAAGCGCAGTCTCGTGACAGCGGCCGGGGCGGTGCCGCTCCCCCCACCCCGCCGGCGCCCCGCGTTCCATTGTGTGCGCTAGCGCCGCCGGGCCCCGCCCCGCCGTGTCCCCGCCCGCAGGAGTGACCACGCCCCCGGCGGCGGCCCCGCCCCCCGTGTTCTCTTGGCTCATTTCCGGCCGCCGCCGCCACCGCCGCTTCCCTCCGAGGGCTCGGGAGAGCGAAGGAACAACAGCCGCCATTTTGTTTGTGTGTGAGCGACGGAGGGAGGAGAAGGGAGCGAGAGGCCGAGCCGGACGGGGCGAGCCAGGGGGAGGGCAGCGCACAGAGACCCAGGGGCTCGGACAGGGGACGGGGAGAGAAGCGAGGAACCTAGACGCCCCCCCCCCCCCAACCCCAGCCTGCCCGTCCCCTCGCTATTCCCTCTCTTTCTGTTTCCTTTTCTCTCTTCTCCTTTTCCCGGAATTCTCTCTCCCCGCGCTGTCCTCCGCCCCCGCTTTGCCCGCTCCGCACACACGCCCCCGGAGCGCCAGGCAGGGGCAGTAGGGAGCCTGCGCTCGGCCCCCGCGCTGCCGCCGTCCCGCCCCGGCCCCCCCCCCGCGCCGGGCAGCGCCGGGGACCCCCTCCCCCGCCCGGCCATTCCGGGGCGAATCCCCCGGCCTTCCCCGCCGTGATTTTTCTCCTGTTTTACTATTTTAATTTTACCTCTCGATCCTCTTCTCGGAGGGGTCGCTGCGCGGCCTCCCCTCCCACCCCGACTTCCAACCTCTTCGCTCCCTTCCCCACCCTCGCAGAGGCGAAGGGGGAGTCCCCCGCGCCCGAACAGCGGCCGAGGGTCTCCTCCCTCGCTCATCGCGCCCCGCATCGCCCGTGGGTCCGGGGGAGCTAAGACAGGCAGCCCCCTCCCTGCCACCATCCTCGGCCGCCCGGGAAGGGGGAAGGTAGGCAGAGAGGGCGGGAGGGGCCGGCTTCTTCCTCCTCCTCCTCCTCCTGCCGCTGCTGTGGGATCGGCCTCTCTGCCTGCGCCGAAAAGGGGGGGCAGCCTGCTACTGCGAACGAGAGAAAGAGGAAGGGAAAAGAAGAGAAAAAGGGGGGGCAGAAAGGGTGTTGAAACCCGCCCCCCACCTTCCCATCCCGCGATCGGTGCTGCCTCCATCAGGACAACAACCCCTCCTCCTTCCCTGCACAACAAGATGTGAAGCGGAGACTCCTGGGACTTATCCTCACCCTCCTCATCCTTACAGCTCCCCTTTCTGCAGCCATTAGCGACGGGCGAGGAAGAAGCGAGTGGAGCTGGGGACCCCGCGCACGCCGTGCCACTCCCCCCGCCGCCTCCCCCCCAGCCCTGTCGCTGGCGGTGGGTATTTTTTCGCAGGGTGGTGTTGGAGGGGGAAGGAGCCGCTGCTAGAGGACGGTGATCTTTTTTTCTTTTTTCCTCCTCCTCTCCCCTCCTTCGCCCGCCTCCTTGTGGCGATGAGGAGGAGGAGGACGGCGCCGAGGAGGAAGAGGCTGATGGCGGCGGTGAGGAGGCAGCAGGAGGAGGAGACCCCCCGAAGGATGAAGATGATTATGGTGGCGGCGGCAAGGAAGCACCAGCACAACAGCCGGGATTAATTTTACTAAAAAAATTTAAATATTCACCAGCCTCCATTTTTTTTAAATTTTTTTTTTTTTTTGGCGGGGGCTTTACCTGCTCTTCCCATCTTCGTTCAGCCCTTTCGCCTGGGGGAAGAGGCCTCACCCCCGCCCGCCCCAGCTCCCACCTCTCCCAATTTCTCCGCTGCCGCCCTCCCAGAGCCCGAGGAGCAGAAAAAGGGGAACTTGGCTCCCCTTCTCCGCCAGATCTTCCTCCTCGCTCTCGGCCTTATTGTTGTTCTTCACCTGACTCGGGGCCCCAGAAGAACGTGAAGGTTTTGGGGTTCAGCCCCCACCTTCTCTCTGCTCTGAGTGATTGTCTAAAAAATTAAAAATGGCCGAGAATGTGGTGGAGCCGGGCCCGCCTTCAGCCAAGCGGCCTAAACTCTCCTCACCGGCGCTCTCCGTGTCCGCCAGCGACGGCACAGGTCAGTCTCCGGGCCCCCGAGCCTCCCCGCTTCTCGGTGCCGCAATTACTGCCCTTTTCTCCCCTCTTCTACCTAAATCTCCTCCTCCCTTTTGCTGCTGTTAGCTCGAGCCTGCTCTTCTCCTTCCCGTCTGTTTCGCCTGCTCTCGCTCCGTTTGAAGCTATTTGCGTTAATGGCTCGGGGAGGGTGTTCTGATGGTTTTGCCCTTCTGGTTTTTTGGAAGTGATTGAAGGCGAAGCTGTTCAGTTTATTGTGCTTTTGATCAGCTGCAGATAGGACTTAACAGTTCGTCATTCTCGTGTCTTTCACAATAGTAGCGATTACGAGCTCCTTGCTAAGCATAATGCCAGTTGCAGAAATACGAAGTAGTGCTAAAGACGATGCTTTTGTACACTTTATTGTTGAATTACGTGTACAAGTTTCTTGGTTTTGTATTTTATTTTGCATATACGGGGTTCTTTTGCAGCTGGTTTAGAAACGAGAGATTTATTTCTCTGCTATTTTTCTTTTTTCCTTCTTATGTGCAGTCTGCTTATATGATTTACTTCTTACAATCCTCCGTTCTCCTTCTTGCAGAAGTGTATCAAAATACTGCTTTTCTGATTCGAATAAACCATCGGCTTCAGGAAAAACAGCTAAAACCAAAATCCAGATGCCACGCTTGTGGCATAAGGTTTATTGAGACTCTTATATTCTTAGAGATGAAATTTTATTTCACCTTATTTGCATTAAGAATCAATATGGAGTGTAGTTAATCTTGCATCTCCTGTTTCTTTGCTGCAAGACCAAAATGTCTGAAATTCCCCTGTAGACTTAAGAGCTGTGATGAGAAAAGGGGCTTCTCTGCAGTCCTGCAAAGGTCTTTGGTGATGCTGGGAAGGCAAGCTAGAGCATGGAAATTTTAGGTGTCCCAATCCCTAGCAGATATGAACTGGTTGTACTGGGAGGGGGGAGGAAGTAACAAAGGGCTGTTCAGCCTTTTAATGCTTCTTGCGAAGCAGGTGAGTGTTTGGTGTCATTTTGCTATGAGAATACTCTGTTACCTGTCCCACTGGAGTTTCTTTGAACTCCCATTAGATCCCATTAATCTATGGGGTATGGAGGAGGCCTCCTCCTGCCAGTCTGGTGAGTGGTGGCATTTCTGAAGGCACCAGTGCTCTTGTTCAATGCAGTTAACAACTGGCAAGGAAAGGGAAGAGTTGTTTTCTTGTTGTTGGCTTTTGGGGTCTTTGGTTTGGTTTGGCTTTCTTTTCTGAAAAGCTCTTTGACAATTAACACCAGGTTTTAATAACAGGTCTTTGAGCAGTGGATGTGATCCTACTTGGGATCATCTCCAAAATTTTGATTTTGCCTTTTCTGTTCTTGGTGAATGACGTATTAGTTTTGAAAAGTTTGTGTGTGACTTTTAGTGCATATTAAATACAGCCAATATTGTGTTGTTAGTGGAGGACATGACTCTTCCTAATATCAACAGGCCTCTAGTGAGAGAGTACAAGAGGGTTGGAGAAGCTGCTCTTTGGCTAGAATTAGTTGTTGCCTGGTTTTGTGCTGGATTTGGAAAACAGTGGTCAATTCAATAGTAACCGTTTTAAATTTGCCTTGATAGTGGTTATTTTGCTCTGTTTAGAGAGGTGGAATGAGAATATTTTGTGAGAAAAGTTCTGATACTTTCATGTTTTTTAAGTTAAAGGCACATTTTATTCAAATGAATGCACATCTAAGTTCAGGCATCTGTGATCAAATAAAGGTTGGATAATTTGTGAATGTATTTCAGTTTAACAGGTGCAGGCTCTCACAGAATACTTAGTCTTCAGATGTTAACTTACTGGGCAGCTTTTTATAGTGAATAAATGAACATTTTACAGTTTTGGTGAAACACTGGGGACTGGGCAGTTTCAGTACTTTTCAGTCAGTTTCAATTTTTCCCAAAGTGATTGGGACTGTCATTACCTGATAGCTGTGCTGAAGTTTGTAGTGGTGCAAACACTTCATACGTGCTACATAAGATCTATTAAAGAGTTCTTAATCTTATGACTTTTTTTTAATTGCCAAGTAATGATGGGACAGTTTTACTTTCTGTGTTTTTTAACATGTCACATAATATCTATTTCTGTGAGTAAAGTCATTGGTTTTAATAACCCTCAAAATATATTCATTGGTTCATTTTTTCACAGAAAAAATGAACCAATAAGTGTATTTCGAGGGTAATATATTTTCATTTGCTGCTTGAGACTGCAGTTTTTGTCACACTTCTGTTGTGGGAAACTGCTTTGAAGTTTACAAATGTTTAACCTATCTGCTGGTTAAATTTGCTTTGAAATAGTGCAAGCAGCTGTCATGAAGTAAATTCCACTTATAGAATCTTGTATTGTCCCCACTCCTCGGTTAATTATAGGAAATAAGTAACATGGTACTTATGTACTTACCCAAGCACTCTTTTTAAAACGGTTAGATTCTCAGAACTATCAGAGAAGGAGAAAGGCAGGACACTCGCACTGCTGATGAAACTTTTTGCAGCAGCTGTGCTTAGTGCTGTTTTTGTTGTTAACTCTTTGATTAGTTTTAAAATCTGAAACATTTTAGGTTGTTGGATATGTAAAAATGATGACTGACTCATGTTACACTATTCTCAAACTTGCAGATGTTAAGTGTATTTGTATTGAAGACCAAGAGGAGTCTCTAACTCATGTTTTCACTGTAGATCTGGATGATACTCATAATCTGGGCCTGGAATGTACTAAACTCTAATGTTGGTGGCTTTCTTCTAAAAAGATTGTCCTAATATGCTTGATTTATTGGCAGCAGCCAAATACAGCTGCATTTCCTACTTTTGTTGTGGCGCTGCATCTTCTTCTGTCTTAAAAGTTATAGATGGTTCATGTGTTCCCTGCTCAGAATTTGCTTTGCCGTGGAACATACTGTGGTAGTGTGCTTTTAAATTGCTTTATTACTGCCAGTTCAACCTTGAGGATGCAAACTGAAATGTTTGTAGCACATCTTGTAATAGTAGTTTAGAAAGTCTTTGATACTTTCAGCGTCCTCTAATATATTAGAATTTTTGAACGGTCTCACTTTTTTTTTTAATGTTGTGTAGCTCTAGAATAATTTCAGAGACAGTGTGGGATTCCGTTGAACTACACAGGTTTTTCTACACATTTTTTCCCCCTTTCTCTATTTAAGTGTTAAATTTGTTGCAAGAAGAATGGTAATGATCTATGTATCTTGTCCGGGCCTTAAGTTTTCTGAGGGCCGTTCCAGCTCCACAGTGGGGTCCTCTTTTGGTGACAGCAGTGACTTTGTTACACTGCAGTACCAGCACGGCTACACTGACAGGAGATGACACCGACTGCATTGCCAGTGTAGCACCTTTGCTCATCTTTCTTAACGGTAGCAACATTTTTGATATGTTGCACCTACTCTAGCAAGACTTTCTTAAACATTACCTTAGCAAACTGGTGCATATTAGTCCCCCTACTGTAACAGAATAACCAGAGTGAATCCTGAGGATTTCCCTCCTGGACTAAAATGAGTGAAAGTTGTTCATAAAAAAAGATTTTTAACTGGATGCTTTAAACCACTCGTTTTGGTATTGGGGTGTGTGTGTGTGTGTGTGTGTTTGAGAGGTGTCTTATTTGTGGATCCCTCAACTTTACCTGCAGCAATGCAGGTGTGCTGAAATTGAAATTGCTATGTACAGATTCCTATGTGGTATATTCACGGCAGGAGAGGTTTACTGTATTTTACACCCCCCACATGCACTGCTCCTGCTGCTGAGAAAGAAGCTGTTTGCTGTGAACTGGGAAAGTGTTTTGGGCTCTGGGTTCAGAACCATCGTGTTTCTTCACAGAATAAAAATGGAGTACACTCCATGCTGCAGTGTGTTTGTATAGCATCATGTCTTTAGGCTGCTAGATCTGAAAATAAGAGTTGAAGTGCTTAGTGTTTCAGGCTTGCTGGGACACTGGAAGTCAGTTTTCTACAATTAGTTGGCATGTGTGTTATATCAGAGAGCAGAGAATGTATTTTGTGGTGTGTGCTTTAACATCCTTCACTTTCCTGTATCCAAAAGTTATGTTTTTCTGTGCAGTAGCACATCTTCCATCTCCCTTGAAGTATCCATCTTTTGTAAAGTCTGGATGTTCCTTTTTGTCAGAAACTGTTTCTGACCTTTTAAATTTTGCTCTGCCTCACATCAGAGGTCTAAGACCTGTAATGAAACTTCTCTTCTGCACTGCTGCAGTTCTGACTGATACTCATCTTCCATTCCTTCCGAATGGATCAGGATGTTTCTTTTCTCAAAATTAGTTGTATTACTCTTACCCCACTACTCTTTTCAATTCTATTTTCCAAGAGCTGTGTGGTTGTTGCGAGCATTTGTACATACTACATTTAAAATTAACAACTTTTCATCAGTCTGTTTTCTAGCTAACATTAAAGACCCAATGATTAGCTACATTTTAGCTTATAGCCATCAGTTAAACGTTTTCATCCCTTCTTGTTAAAAGCCATTTTTCTTGCTGGTTTTGCCTTAAAACGTCATTTGATGGATGGATTATACTGTAAGTCAAGTATTGCAGTGGTAGATGCTTGTCTGGCAAAAATGAGTGTCTTTGGTGTGTAGCTAAACAGGCTCTCAAAGTAACTGTATTAGGAATAAATATAAATTAAGAAAATTTAAGTCT